AGTGCCTTGAAAACCTCTGTCAACACTTAGCAACTTTAAATGAAATAAGCAAGGGCATCACTGCCTGAAAGTGCTTCCATTAATGGTATGTTGATGAAATGCATAAAAAGAAATATCTGGGCACCTCACAATCCATAGTTAACGTTATTGTTGCAACATACCAGAAAAGTGAAAAAGTAGTGTCTGTCTTTTTATAGATGGGGAACTGAGGACCCTGGTATAACTGGGACATACGCCTTAGTTAGAGTGGCACAGGCACTGCGTGATGGCATGCCTCGCACTGCTTGTCTGCTCCAGAAACAAAACACAAGTTTCTGAAGACATGGGCACAAAGCCTATGATTGCCTAACTCAAGAACAACATATTTTCTTCTAGATCAGAGCAAAAGAAGTTGTAACCTACGATTTGTCTTGTTTCCCTTCCATCCCTTGCTACCTGCTTTGCATGATTTTATATACCTGTTGTCTGCAGCCAAATGTATTTATAAGAAGGGATAACCCACCCAGCAGAGAAATCTGATCCCAAATGTAAGCCCCGTTTGTCAGAAACTCCCTAACTACCAGGTAACTTGCAGGTTTCACTGAGAAGGTTTGATCGAGTCTGAGCTTTTTAATGCAACCTCCAAAGAATCGAAGGTGATGCCATGTGAGGACCCATCATCAGAGTCCTCTTTAAGACTACCTGTCTCCCTGTTTAATATGCTGGGTCATACTCACCTAAGCACTATCATGGAACCATTGACACAGTACTAGGGAGTGATGTGTCCTACAGGCTAATCATATCTCCACACTCCGAAGAGCAATGAAAGGGTCTTATTTATCTTGAGGTTCTAGTAAGGAATTCATTGCTTTTGTGAAGATAATGTTTTCAGGCAAACCTAGTGATTTACACCTCTGTTTTGAACTCTCCAGCTGACTCCTTACCCAGTACTGAATACATTGAACACTCCCAGGTAATACCGGGCAATTTTTTACACAATAAACTTCCTGTTCTTGCCCTGTTGAATAAAGGACTATATTAACAGAACTTGGGCTCAGAGGCAAATCTAGGCAGGTTTATCAGAAACAGACATCAGCCAGGTTGTGCGGCTCACTGTAAGGCACAGCTAACAACATCAGGGCACTCAACCGTCACCCCAAGCCTGAAGCTGAAGCCTGGGGCACTGGAAAAGCAAAGCAGACACCAATCTTGTTCTACTATTTTTAGAATACAGGAATGAACAGAGGGAGTGCTTTCTTCCTCTGATCATGGACAGCTTTTGAGGACAATGGGAGAGGAGCTTGATCCTGAGGTTTGTCCGTCACAGAGTATTTGTTCAGTTTTTTAGGACTAAAATAAAAATAATATAAGCCATGCTCCTATAAATAAATTATTACTGCAATTTAATTATCTTTCAAATATTTACTTTTCAGTTATTAATTCTGTTGACCAGCCTTTTGGCCTGGTTATATTAGGCTGCACTGTAACCTGCATAGTATGGTATTACTACCACACTAAATGAAGTTAGACACAAATCTGTAATGTACAAAATACATGACTTGATAACCTACAATATTATGAAATTTTTCCTGAGGAGGAATTTAAAAATGTCTCTGGCAGTATGATATTTGTATCGACACATTTTGTCAAGCGGTCATAGTAACACAGAAGTACTCAGTTCAGAGGCATATCCTACACTCTTTGCTTGTTAATTCTATCCCTTAAAGCTATTGCTTGATAATACAGTACACCTTTACAGACAATCCATGGCATAAGCCTTCTGGCTCAGTGATTTTAAACTAGTGAAGATGCGCAATAATCCTCTCTGTGTTCTGTTACACAGACCTTGATTCTGTTAAGAAACTGCATATAGTAAGGACCTGTGTTTTCTGGATGTAATGGTCATGCCTGTGATACCAGGTACTCTTTGAAGAACATTCCCTCATTAAGTTGAACCTTGAATCTCCAACAAATTACAATGTTTGGAACAGTTAAAAATGTTGTTCTTTGGTTACTGAAAATGGGTAAATAGAGTAAAATAGCCAGGGCACCCCATGTTAGAAAATGTATCTTTCCAAAATTAGTACAACATTTACACATAACCAGTATTATGGAGTAGTAAATACCCTACAAATCAAAATGAAAATGTGAGAAGACAGGGCTTCTTTTTCAGACTCAGAGAAGGATTTGCATGCCAATAAGTATGTATCCCTCATGCTTCTGCCTGCAAGCTTTCCTTCAATTACGTTCTCAGACTGCCCCAGTTAAAATGCTACTAGCACTTACAAACAGACTGAATCTCAGGGTCATCCGTGATCTATTGCTACAACATCCACTACTTCTAGAACTGGAAAAGACTGAAGAAATTGCAGGCAATGTTTCCAGTGTAATAATGTTTTTCTGTGTGATGCCCAGTGCAAATTTTGGAAAAGCAGTAATGAACTATTTTTGGCATTGAAGGATTTGATAGAAAATACACCACAGTTTAGGCAAAGATTACTTCTCAAACACATTTCTGTGTGATGCCCAGTGCAAATTTTGGAAAAGCAGTAATGAACTATTTTTGGCATTGAAGGATTTGATAGAAAATACACCACAGTTTAGGCAAAGATTACTTCTCAAACATAAGGCAAAGTTTGTGGATAAGTATACTATGGCATAAATCCTAATACTACATTCAACTCGTGATCTTTCCTAGTAAGTTCATCTATCAGAGGGATAACATGTTTCTTGGAATTTGTATCTAAAACAATTGCATAGTAATTCATTTATCTTTTAACTTCTTGATAAGAACTAATAAAATGTTTATTCAGGATGACCATGACTGGAATGGAAACTCTTCTATTTCATAGTAACACTAAGCTTGTACAGTACTCACATGCTGAGTTACCTAGTCACCACGTGGAGCAGTGGCGGTGAATACAGAATGTCTTTCACACGGTTGACAATATCTAAGAATACAGATAGAGTTAACAGCTGTCTTGTGGCCTTCTTTATGGTCAAGGAAAAACAGTGATTCAATGATGCTATCTTCCGCTAACAGTTTGTGACCAATTCATGTAAAATAACCTCTCAAAGTTTGCCAGAGTGACAAATTGCCCAAATTGCCAAAATCTGACTTCACAGGATAATTTCTTTAAATGGCTTATGAAATTCTGCTACCCCCAGAGCTGTATGGTTAGCAGCATGAGAGAGAATTCTACAGCTACAAATCTCAGCACCTCAGAGGTGGGGAAGTTGAACACTTAAATTCTGGAAGTTTTTCTTCCTCACTATGAGAAGGATAAGTGAAATCTTTGCTTCCTGTTCCCCAGGTTATAGGCATCAAGCTCCAGCTGACCAGTGGGAAAATTTCAGAGATCAATTATTCCTCCTGTAATGTTAAGTGCAGGTGTTAGCCGAGAGAAATTTCTCCTGGATGCGCTGCCATCATTTAGCCTGTAGGACTTCTTTCAGCATCACCTTCTCAAACAGCACTTTGATCCTCCCACAATCAAAGTGAGTCAGTGACACTGAGTTTGTTGCAGCAGGTCTGCTTCCAAGTATGAGCTATCAAGAGACACTAAACAGGGTGAGTCATATCAGCTATCTTGATATTGTCACAACCTTTATTAGCTTTACAGCTACCAGGAAAAACTGATCTTTAGAATGAAAAAGATGATAGTTGAAGAAGTCTAGTCAGGTTAAAAACTAGTTCTTACTGACAAAGGGCCCGTATCAGCTTTTTCCTCCTCTGACAGCAGCTCTCTCAAATAACAGCACAAGAAAAGGACCTGTTTCTGAATGACTGTACATGACTTTTTTTCCCCCTGCATAAGCTGAGAACTAAAGCAAAGATGCCTCTTTTGGTGGATCAAGTGACCTCTAGAAATCCCTTCCAACATAACATTTTTCTACAAATCTGTGACAGCAATTCTTTCTGTCCTGCATGTCTCACTCAACAACTCATGAAGCTACGTAAAGTGATTCATAGGCTGTGGGTATTGATTGATACAGCAGCTAGCTCAGAGACAAATACTAACTTGTTAGGTGCTGCATCAAGGCATTTTCACCTTCTATGTCATGCACGACCCTTCATTTTTTGGTGACTGACACAGAAGGAGCCAACCTGGGAAAGGAGAGAAGCTATTTCACAAAGCTAAGTGAACAAGACACACATTCCACAACAGCTGCATTTCTGTTCTCTATAAAACCTAGAATGCAGCTTGGAATTTGCTGGACAGCGTAACATTTTTCAGTTAAGAATTAGATATTAGGTTACAGGAGTTAGATCTAGAAAAGTACCATTTCACTACTTAGTCAAAAACATGCAAATCAAATCCCAGAAATCATTTACTACAATCCTTTACTCACTGTATTTTTTATAAAAGAGCTGGATTTCCTTTTTTTAAAAAAGACAGATGCTTTGTAACTGCAGATAGGGCTTGCTCATTTTCTACTACCTTTCTGAAACCCTGATGCTATTGACACAGCAGAGGGTTGCACACCATTGCCGGTAAAAGCAATGGATAAGCTTACTTGAGGGAGCTTGTCTGCACAAGGCACCGAGTACTGTCCTTACTCCTTACTGTCCTGTTCCAGCAGAGTATGCCCCATTACCATGGTGAGTTCACACCTACCACTCCTGACTGTGAAACCCTCTATTGGGTATCCTTCTGCAGACCAGAAGGAAAGGCACAGAGACCTGTTGCAACTTGTCACTCAAATCACTACAAATCACAAAATAGGAGGATACTATTCCAGGGCCTCACACTGCACATCAACACTTAAATGTGTTTCATCTCCAAGGACCACGTGCTAGGAACTATAACCCCATTTATACTTGAGAAATTTGGTGGTGTAGCTACAACCGTAGTGTCTTGAATCTTGTATGCAGGCGGTTGTCTATTATTTCAGATTTGTTTCAAAATGAGAATTCAGCTTTTGCCTGCCTAATTGTAGTTCCCCAAAGGTATAGCTCCTATTATGGGTAGGGAAAATTGGTGTTATTGTTTCACATTGTCTCTTTTTCCTTGGAACAGGATAATGTGGATCTTGGTGACCTGATGTTTTCACTCTGCTACCTTCCAACAGCTGGTAGACTAACGATTACAATAATAAAGGCAAGAAATCTAAAGGCAATGGATATCACAGGAGCATCAGGTAGGATTGAATTTAACACTCAGTGTGGATTTCTGTTTCATTTCCCTCCTGAGTCACAGAACTCAGCGCTGTCAGGTCCCAGAATGACTTTTGAGAAGAGGGTTCTTTACTGCAAACTCTTGAGTTACTTGAGTACAGGAGTTTGAGAAGTAAATAATATATTTTAGTTTGTTCTGTTGCAACAAATAGTTTAAAATAATCTGCTCTTAAAAAGACAGCAAGATTATTATTTCTAAAGCCACTGTGATTCAGAATAGCACGAGTTGGCCAAACTGCATTCGTAACACTGGGCATTTGTTTGTACAGCAGACTGTTTGTTACATCGATGGCACAGAGACAGGCTGACCCTCCCTGACAGTCTCCAAGAGCCACTGAGCCAGTTCTGCTGTTGTTGGCATATGGACCAAACGGTGATCATCCCAGACTCCTTTCAGCAACCCTTTCAAAATTTGATGATGAAAACAGGAAACTAACATAAATAAGAGTTCATGGATGACCACTACATACTAGCAAGGAGTTGAAGAGCTCCCAGAAAGGAGCTACAAAGAAATAGCCATTTTTTACTACATTCAGGAGTTTAAAAATAATTATAATTCTCTTGAGAAATATAAGCCACTAATTCTTACACTCTGAATTATATTTAATCATATATCAGTAAATCCCACTGTGTAAAATATTGTCATCTTCTGTCTGTCCTACAAATCTGTACAAGTAATTAGACTGTTATAAATAGGCTGATACACAGGCTGTTGTATGACAGAGTCATGTATAACATGGTTCAGTGGATATTTTAATACCCTTTGAGAAGTTGGTATACAACAAGGAGCTTCTTGATCCTAAATTGTTCATTAGAAGCAGTCAACCAGGTAAAGCTTTCCAAGCTCCACTGCCTCCCAGGCATTCCATGGTAATAAAGAAGCTCCGATTCCAGTCAGGTCCAGGTGACTAATTCTGCAAGCAGGTATGGTCATACAAGGAGGCTGCTCCCTTCACTTTCCATTTATGTTTGCTTAAAAACAACAAAAGAAAACCAACGCTGTTCTTATGATTCACACAGATCCCTACGTGAAGGTTTCTTTAATGTGTGAAGGAAGGCGACTAAAGAAAAGAAAAACTTCCACCAAGAGGAATACCCTTAATCCCGTTTACAATGAAGCCATAGTCTTTGACGTCCCTCCAGAAAACATTGACCAAATTAACTTGTCGATAGCTGTTATGGATTATGACCGGTGAGATACCTGTAGCTGTAAAATAACAATATATATTGGCTTATAAAATTTTGCACAGGAGATTTGCATCCAGAAAGAGGGTTATCATTTTTTCCCAGTCAATGGGAAATTAATGTCTTGTGTCTTTGGTAGAAGACTAAAATTTCTTGTATTGCCAGGCAGAATTTCCTTTCTAAATTTTAAAGTATTGATTTGTATCCGTTACTGACCTAACTAAGCTGGAACTGAATTAACTGAATATCCACACACTGACGTTCTGTTTATATGCAATTTCATCAGCCCCTTAGACATACACCTCCATTTCTAAAATTGTGGCCTAGTTTACTTGTGTTTCCAACTAATCATGGAACACAGACAAAGAACTTCTTACATTCTTCATGCAAAAATAAGAAACAAATGCACCGAGTCACACAGTGTGTGCTACAATTGGGAAAACACTAAATTATTCTGATTAGTGGGAAATGCAAAGAGCAAGCCTATGTATTTTACAGTTTGTTACATTTTTCAGTCAAGATTTGATTTTTAAAATCTGTGATTAATGTTTCTAATGAAATATATACATGGTATGGTTCTAAAGGTAATATTTTAAGAAAAAAATATTATGGAACATTTTCACAGTGTAGGTCACAATGAGGTCATTGGAGTATGTCAAGTAGGCAACGATGCAGAAAGCCTAGGTCGTGACCACTGGAATGAAATGCTGTCATACCCTCGGAAACCCATTGCTCACTGGCATCCTCTTGCAGAGGTAAGACTTTTACTTCTTGATTCTCTGTTACTGTAATTGTGAAAATTCCTCCCTATGACATTAGAAGTTGGATAAAATCTTATGTACAAAACTAAGATCCACATGCATGCACTAAATCCTAGAAAAGGGCTCAGAAACACCAAAATTAAGAGTCAAATATAACACACAAGTTAAGTCTGCTTCTTTCGATTTTAGGGTGACAGAAAGTAATTAATAGCTTTAACATATATAGGAAAACACCAAACATATGTTGTATTAAGGGTTTGGTTTTGTTTTTTAAACAGTATCTTGGGTAACTTTCCCTGATAATTGATATAAGAAATGGACCTTGTTTACAGAACAACCAAGACCTATTTTTTTTATATATATAAACAACCAAATTTGACATCTTCTCCTGTAAGAATATATCATCTGTGCCACTAGCACATGTCAAGGGATGCCTAACTGCACTGAAAAAAGAATGTTTAAGTGTCTCTGGAGATCTGAGGCGTTGTTAAGAAGCCGCACAAATCAGAAAAGCTTTTCAAGGTTCCTATGGTTTTTTTGTTTTGTTTTGTTTTGTTTTTTGTCTTTAGGGCCCTATTGAGCAGAAATGTTATGCAGGTCTTCTGCGCTTGGATGGCTGCCGAAGAGGCTTCCTCACCCTTTTAACCTATTCAGCAGAAATTTGGCATTTCTGTTGAACCCTTTCTTAGCCATATCCACAGGGGCTATTCCACAGAGTCCAGTGGGGTAAAGATGTCCTTTTAATCCCTCTGTCTAATCCTCTCCCCAGCACAAGGAATGCTAATCCTGATTCATGAGACACAAAAATTCAGCAAAGATCTAACTAAATCGCTTCTTAAGAGTTACTGTGACTTACTTTTATGGTTGTTATCACTGGCAAGAGTCAGGCAGTAATCCCAGTCAAAGAAACTATGTTTATGAACAGCCACAATGTTACTCTCAAGCTGAAAGACAGGAAAGGCCATGGTGCTCACATCAAGCCATGTCATTGCTGTAAGCACCTAATACACAGAGACAGGCAGTTTGCAGCCTCTCTGTGTATACTTTGATCATCAGAGTGCAGCCATGTTACTAAAATGTAACTGGGGACCATTTGGTTGTAACCACTAACCCAAGGCAGTTCCATAAATAATTGTTGGGTAATAGGAAGATCCTACAAAATGGCAAAAATACCGGAGTCTTGCCCCGTGTCCGTAAGCAATGACATTTACTGGTGCCTGGGGACCACGGCAGCACGGTTTCAGCAGGGAGACCTTTGAGTGCTCACCGGCTCTGTTGCAGTGGGAATGCACCGTGCCTTTTCAGAGTGTGGGTGCTGCCAACATGCTGTCAAAGAGGGTGGAGAAAAGTGGGGGATCTCTCTCTGTATGACTGTGCCCTCAATGGCAAGCTAGCTATTGGCTGAAGTGCCACGCTTGAAATACCTACCTGGGCATTTGGGAGCTGGGTTTAGAAAACACCTCACCAAGCTCTTAGCTGTAGCCAAGCATTGACGGGAACGGCTTGACAAAGCACGTGAGCAGCAGTGTAATGGCTACTATTTCCCAGAACATGAGAAGTGTCTCTTAGCAGAAGTTGCCTACATGATTATATCCAACCTGTCTTCCCTTTTTGATAAATTTTATTGCAGCCAGAGCCCACAATTAGGTTTTGACAGCTCTTCCCTTTTTGCAGGCATCCTGTTCTTTTCATACATGCCTGGCTAACTTCTTTAGATTTCATTACTGTGGATTGCTTTTCATGTCACTGAGCTAAACACAGACATATTTTTTTCCTTCCCAGGAATCAAGTGGGGGAGGGTGTCCAGCGCATCCAGGCTGTGCAGAGAAATATATACACAGCATATCATTTTGGTTCCTGAATCAGGATTAGACTCAGCGAGAGCTTCTGGAACCTCTGTGGCCACAGCCATAGGACCCTGAATATTTGCTGAATAGGACCCTCAGTCTTCTACTGTGTGAAGAGCTATTGGTTTCAAGTAGCATAATGTTATCCACTTGTAGCATTAATTCTCCAGCTGACACTGTTGCTACTGATAGTGTGGTTGTATGATTGTAAGCATTACCCAAATTCGTCATAATTTCTGTTCATTAGAATAACCCAGGTTTTACAAGCAACATGATAGCAATGAAAACTAACAAATATGGGAAGCAACAACAAATATGGTTCTTGCATTTGCAAAAAAAGTTGCAGTATTATGAATGGATAGCTTTCTAAATAACTTTTTTTCAAGAGTTATTGTCATCAGACATGTATTTTTTGATGACAAGTTGCATCCGTAATCTCAGTTGTTGCCTCCTTTCACCTTACACAAAGATAAGTAATATGGTTCTTTTCAAAAACCCTTCAAATTTGAAAAAAAGTTCTGTTGGGTGAGAACAAGATACATATGGTATTTGTAATACAGTATGTTCTTTTAGAAAGAAGATAGCCATCTGTGTAACACCGAGGCTGTTATTCCTCAACCTCTATAGATTGTTTTCCAGTCAATGTTTCTGTTGTGTCCATGTCACCACAAAAAGTTGGAAGCATATCACTAGCGGCTGTGCTCTACCGTACACACAACCACACACATGTGTGTGCATGTGCACACACACACAATGTAATTTTAAAATGCTGTTCCATATATATAGTGCCTGTGAAGACTTTATTATCTATAGTAGAATTAACAGCGCTGTCTTACGTGATGGCATATTGTAAATGCTGACAATTTCTGACCATTAAAAAAACCCCAAAACAAAACACAGAACTCTTTCACATAATGAAATCTATGCCTTGGAACAAGAGCCCCTGGGAAAAACTTTTGCTACTTATTTAGCCATGCCTGGAGTTCTCTCTTCCTTTGAACTTATCTACAGAGAATTTGATTCAAGTTTATACATGGGAATTTTTATTTTGAAAATGCAAATGCGAAGTATGGGTATTTTACACAGTCTAGTTGCCTGCTACATACTTACAGATAGGGAGCCCTGGTCATTATATATAGTTCAGATACGTTTATGTGCACACACATTGCTTCATGACATGCATGTGTGGAATGCTCACCAAGGATTTTGGATTTGCAGTTTTGCTGGCAGGCATATGCATGCACAGATTGAAGAAAACATTTGAAATTTTGATCTAAAATCTGAAAAAAATAGTTTTAGAACCTATCAAATGAGGATATTCCAAAAAATCAGAATTTCTAATGGGTAAAGCACAGTTTGGCACTTCCAGGAAATCTTGGATCTATCATAAATATGTGCTGCAGCTGTAAATCAGAAGTCCTGTAAAGTACAGTGGTTTTCAAAAATAACATGCCATGCTATGGAGAATACAGCTACCACATACAAGGATGCCACTGGCAAACTAAACAACTCCTCAAAACCTGCCCAAGCAAAATTTCAGATGCATAACTGAAGAACAAAAAATACAGATATAAAGTTGCCTTGGAAAACTGTTTCACTACGGTTTCAACTGAAGCTTTACGTCAGCAGGCCAGTGATACAATACAGTGTTCATATCTGTTCATGCATGTTCCTCACTTCAGGCAAAGTCCTGCGCTCTTTACTCAGGCTCATCTCCCAGAAGTCAGCATGGAGAGCTGCGCATGAGCAAAGAAGGAGGACCTCTTCCTTTGGAGTAGAATTCTTCTATTGCCTGCACAAATCATATATGCATCCCTGCCTGGAATGCAGAGCAGGTAGCTGCACACTTTCCCACTGCAATGTTAGCAACAGTAGAAGGAAAACACCTGTGCAGCAGGTTCATTTTATGTCCATGCACGAGTGCAGAATCCTTTATAAGATTCGAAACTAGCAACTCAAAGGGGCATCAACTGAAAAGTAACATCATTATAGCAGCCAGTGTTTTTTATTTTATTACCGTACTCAGATTATTTAATGTGCAAGAGTCTGGCGTCAAGAGAATGATTTTGAACACTGTTCTATTTTTTTTTTTTTAAAGACATTTCTGATCAGTAAGCATTTGAAGTGGAATCCAGCACACCTCAAAGGCTTAGAGATGGGGAAGAAAACCTAATTTTTTATTAAATTCCCCTAATCCTTGCTGAATCATGACTTGCAAACTGTTACTCAGGCTGTAGCATTACTATGTGCTTTTTACAAATATCTGCCTTATCCTAGCCGTACCTGTAAGGAATGATAGCTATTTTCTATATTTGGATACTTCACTCTTCGCTTTTACACTCCACTTAACCAATGCTCTTGCCTAGACATGAAATTTTGTGTTATGGTTGTTGTGGTACACGGCTGCTCTCTTTGGACTGTAGTACAATAATACAACAGCACACTGGAAGGAACAGAGAATATACTGCTACAAAATCACCTGGAAACACAGAGAATACTATGATACCAATATTGTTCAGTCTTTCTTCTCTGAACTATGATTCTCAGAGGTAAATTAGGAGATGGTGTGTAAGAATAATTCGAAAGCCGCAACCCTCATTTGTTCTGATTTCCTGTGAATGCATAATTATAGTGCATGACAAGTATCATAATTCTGAAACAGAAAATTAAATCCCTTAGAAATGCATCTCAGCAAGATTTTAATCCCACTTCATTCATTAGCAATGTGCTATTAAACTGTGAGTTTTCCATAACAAGCCCCATTTCTGATGTTTTGTGGAAAAGCAGTGAGTGTCAATGGGAAAGCCTTCCAAGCTACTGACACAGAGGTAGAGCATAATGGGCAGTTGTGTGATATTCCCTAGCCAAAACACCGACAGCACAACCCTTACACAGTTAAACGCTAAAATATTTCTTTAGCCATTTGCGCTGAAATCACAAGACATTAAAACAATGTCTGCCCTCTTTTATTTTGTTTTTCCCTGTAAATAATCCTGGCAGTGGACAAACACACATGCATCTCAGTCTGGGGAAGCAGGGACCACCAGAACAAAAAGCAAGCATATACTATAAAAAACCCCAGTGCTCAAACTGTTCCTACCAGTCAGTGCACACTGCAGCTTTCTGCGCCAGCAGATCCATAGAACAGTATGCATGAGAAACGTGTTATATAGAGGTCCAATTGAACTGCCAGTAGCAGAACTGTTGGTTCAGTCCAAAGTGAGACAACAGCAAAGGGCAACACTAAAGAATGAAAAATAAGATGTTATTTTCGTTCACCATTCTTGGCTTAAAGGGATTTTGTTGGGGTTTTGTTTGGTTTAGTTTGGTTTTCTCTGTGTGTGTTTTTAACACCAAACACGCTATGTAGCTATATTAACATGATTACCTAAAGTCAGAAGTACAAGAAACACATTTACATGTTTATCATGTGGCAACATTAGAACACTGAGGGGACCTATTTGCCATGGGAAAAAAAAAAAAATAATAGCTGCAAAATCTCTTTAGTTTAAAAGTAATAAATAGGAAGGGATAAAGAGGACTGGAAATTCAGTTGAAAATTCTTTTTGACTCAGCTAGAAATCCAGCTGAAACTACTTTACTGTTAATGCATTTTGTTTGAACAGAAAGAAGTAAAAAAACATAGACTAGGTGACTCAATCTGAAGTGTCATCAATTAAATGCTTTCTTCCCTTCAGAACAGTGTACTGTCAAACGATTACATCTCAGTAACAAGTGAGAAAACAATGGCTTTCTTATCTACAAGGAAAATAACATGTAGAGAAAGTAATCCACAATACTGTAGAGTTTAATAGAAGCCCTCTGTGCTG